AATACTCTAAAACAAAGTAACATAAGGTACAGGAAAAAGGCATATGACATATTTAAGGGGTTGTACAGGAACGAGGACAGCATTTCTTAAGTTTCTCTAAAGAAGGTTTCCAAGCAATGTACATAGCAAAGAGGGGTTATTTGAGGGAAAGGCTATAGTTTGTATTTGTTTTCATTGTAAAAATGTTTTTCAACCCATATATTCAAATGTCATATCTTTATTTTAAATTAGCAACCTGTTATCCATATCTCTACATTTCTAGCACTTTGTGGGCAAACTATAAGTATATAGCTCAATGAATGCTCACAAAGTGAATGTACATGTGTAAAAAGCACGAATCAAAAAGCAGAACATGGCTGGGCACAGTGGTTGATGCCATAATCCCAGCACTCTGGGAAGCTAAAGTGAGAGGATCACTTGAGCCCAGGAGTTGGAGACCAGCCTGGGCAATACAGCGAGGCTCCGTCTCTATAAAACAATAAAAATAAAAAATTAGCCAGGAATTGCGGTATGTGCCTATAGTCTTAGCTCCTCTCGGGGGCTGAGGTGGGAGGATCCCTTTGCTTGAGCCAAGGAGGTCGAGGCTATAGTGAGCTGCGATTGCCTTACTGCACTCCAGCCTGGGCAACAGGTTGAACCCTCTCCAAAAAAAAAGAGAAAGAAAGGAAGAAAAGAAAGAAACAGAACAAAACCAAACATCCCCTTGTGTCCTCTTCTGTCCACTACCTTGCATCCCCCCAAGGGAAACCACTATCCTGACTTCTAACAGAGTAGGTTAGTTTTACCTCTCTCTGAAAGTATATAATATGGAATTATACAATATGTGATCTTTTCTGTCTAGCTTCTTCACTCAGTATTATGTTTATGGGATTATTCTGTTTCTTGTGCTTTTACATTCTTGCTTTAGGCCTGCTCCTTTTTTCTAACTAGCTGTGACATCTTGGGAGAATTTAAGTAGCTTACAGACAACTTGTAGCAATAATCTCACATTTTAGGATAAAACAGATGGCAGTCTGAAAGTGTTCCTTGCATAAATAGAGCCTAACAGTTACTGATTGCTATATAGTCCTATATAGCAATAGAAATAGAATATACATCTTTACAGTTTAGAAATAGAACACACATCTTTACAGTGTAGGACTTTTTTGTTGTATCCACATAAAAAGGCTGTGACTGCCATCTCTGAATTTTTACAAATTAAACTTTACAGGTGACTCTATTAACCAATCAGTAAGTCCTTTGAGCTTAAGGGTAACATTTGGAAGAACCAGTGAATGATATCTCTATGCATTTGTCTCATCTAAGTTGCAAAATCGACACTACACACATTAGTGTGATTTGTACTATAGGAGTTTTAGCACATCACAGTAATACAGAAATTCGTTTCAGGGCTTATGGTTTTTTGCCTAAACTATCCTATACTTCCAATCTGTCAAGTTCAAAGTAAGGGCTGAACAACTTGCTTCAGCTGTAGATGCCATACCTGAAGTGAATTACATCCTTTAATTAGGGATTGTTAAGCTGGGTTCCACGGATAAACTTCAAGGGGTCCTCCAAATACTCAAATACATAGGTTTCATCAGACTCTATTCCTTTAAATGGCAATATACAGTGGACTAATGATTCATATTAGTCTGAAATTATTTGCTTGGCCCTGTCGTTTATTTGACAGCATTCATGAGAAACATTATTAACAGTCAGTCCAATTATTTTCAGATTAACCTTTGAAGCTTCTTAAAATAATTCCCAGATCCTAGAGTGGTTACAGATATTTGGCTAATACGTAAGGGTAAGTACCTGCCAGCAGGTATGGGGAGACTTTCGTTCCAAGATATACTGAGTTAAGGGTGAAGGTTCAAGTTCATATTTGTCAAAAGGAAGTTTGTCTATTACCATTGGCTCACAATCTACACAGGAGAACCTCACAACAGGATGAGATGTTCGTGGAGGCTAAAACAAAGCAGAAAAAAGTGGTTAGGTCTCAAAGCAAGCTTAGATTTCTGACAATTCTGCAAGTCCTTTTATATCTTGTTATACTATCACTGAGATATAGACTATCATTTTGAGAAAGAGGATTACTGGATCTCTAAGAACCATCAATGGCTCCCATGGGAGAGAGGGATCAGATTCTTTACTATCTACTTGACATCAGGAAGAGGAAAGGTAAATTACAACACTCATAACTAGAATTTCAGTGAATTGAAAAAAAATTATTTTGAATATGTTTAAGAAGTTATTATGATTCATAGGATGAACGTTGAATTTCAGATCAATTTTGTGACCTCCAAGAATTGCCTGCCCTTCACTCCTTTTTACCATGAGGTTACAGATCGTCCAGATACTGCTGAGGATGAAGAAATCCATACAACTTTCTAGTAAGGTAAGGAGAGGGCTAAAGCCATTAACAAGCAAGATGAAAAATAGTAGAGGCATAGAAAGGGCAAGACAGAGACTGATAATAAGCCAGTCATAACGCCAGGGCCCAGATGGAGATTTGCAGCATTGCTAACACCAACGTGTTTGCCTTGAATAGCTGGAGCTGGGGATGCTTTGCACTGGGCTGCAAACGCCTGTGTACCTGGGGTACTTGAGCAGATTAATGGAGAAGCCATTTAATTAACAGGTTTAGCTAGTGTGATTGGAGAGCACCAGAGAGAGAAAGGCGAACAGCAAGGGCAATATGGAGAAAGAAAGACACAGGACAAATCCCAGAGACGAGGTAGGAAGTGGGTCAGCCTATTCTTTTTGAGAAATCTGTAAGGCTAATATGAATATGATAAAATATCTCTGCTTCCTTTATAAAAAAGAAAAACACATTCATTTGACTTTCTAATTTACAATTATAAGATGTCTGGGGGTTGAGAAAAATAGCTCTCAAATGAACTTTTAAAGATGGAAGAATGGTAACATGAGCTATATGTGAATTACTTGGAAAGTCTTTTAGTCTATTTTTTTCCCCAACTTCATTTTAATTAACCTTGTGAAAGGTTTCTGACTCCTTAGATTTGAACAGGTAAAAATGCAATAAAGACATAAATGAAGCTTTGTTGCTAGCAAAAATGAAGTAAATTTATCATAAAGCCTGTACTCTGGAGTGTGGAAGTGCTGAGGTTTGACAGGTGTAACACCGTGAAGCCCAGAAGAGAGGAGTGGGACATCTCCCCTCACCCACAGCAGGGGGCCTAAAGGGCTCTTCGGTCTTAGATTCAGGTCTTTCATGACTACTTCTAAAAAAAGTGCAGAAGCCTAAAAAAAGTAATCCAGGAGAAAATGCAGTTCACTGTCAGAAATTTCTAAAACTGAGACAGAATATAGATGAACTGAACTAGGAAGATGTTAAATAGAAGAAGTCATGATTTGTTTGTGTCCCCTCCCAAGCCCACACAAGGGAGATTACTCAGGCCTTCTTACAATTTGCAGGAGGGGAGAAAAGAAAAAAGAGAGAGTTGGTTTCACATCTTCTCCCTTATTACTAGACAATGCCCTCCATACAGAAAAAAAAAAAAAAAAAAGCCAATTGATCTGGCACTAGGACCAACTATAATAGCAAAGCCTGTCCTACTAAATGCAGTGACCAAAAAGACAAGTCCTTGCTTAGAGATCATTTTTTAAATATTGCTTAATTACCTACCATTAAAAGGTATATTGCTACAAAAGTCCATTGATTACAAAAAGATGAAAAGTGGGAAGAAGTAGAATTTTGAATAATGTTTTTAATATGTTCCCAGAACCTATCCAAGGTGTAAACTATGTTCAACCTTCCTGAGGCTATGTATGAAAACCAAGGCCAGTACTTTTCAGACGTTGTGTTTGCCACATACATCAAGTCAGCTGCTCTGAAATGAAAACCTAGTCGCAGACTACAACAGCATCAAAACCAGCAATGTTTTAACATCCAAAAAGGGCAGCTCAAGTGGCAAAGAAAACTGAAGAATGACACGTGTCAGAAAATAAAGGAAGTCCTCCCTTGCCTTTAGGCACAAAGCTAGACTTCCAGTAAGAGACAGAAGGCAGAGGAGGGAAGACTTACTTTCCTATGGCATGGATTAAAGGGCTATAAGCCATTTTTAAAGGTTCACTGTAATCAGAAAATTGAAAATCCAGAATGATGTTTACCTTTTTGTTTTATGACACTTACTAGTGAAGGTAAATTCTGATCTGGCCAAAAAGATTCTGGAATTGGCCAATGTCCAACAGGAACACCAGTTTTAGAGTTAGGTCGTACATAAATGAGTTTATGACAACTATGCCATGGCTGAGCAGCAAATGAATTGCTTGGCCTAGATGAATCCATAAGTCCATCTAAAAGTTAAACAAAAGACAAACTAAGGCGTGAATTTCTTTTTACAGCTGCTGATCTTCTTGTACAAATTTTCCAGCTGAAAGCAAAGTCCAAAATAAAACAAGAACAATGATTCATGAAAAATGGAAGAAGAAAAAAAAAGTGACTCTACTAGGATTTCTAAATGTTCTCTCTGGCAACTTTTTTCATCTAATCTATCCCTTCTAACCCAACACCCCCCACCACTCTTCACCTAGTAAGAGAATATGCAGTTATGCAGAAAACTATTGTAAAACTAGTTCTAAATTTTCTCAGACTCAGATGCATAAATTAAATACATCAAAACACTACAGTTGTTTTTCAAGAATTCAATTACTAAATTAGGCAAATGAAATTGTTCACTCCCTGGTATAGTTTTTACATTTCTGGAATCTGACAAAAATAGATCATAAATTCCATTTATATATTCTTTCTATTTCCAAATACATGAAAAAGTATTCTTTATCAAACAATTAGACCCAATGACCACAAAGGCAAAATAAAAACTAGCCAAATTCACTTAAAGATAGAAGAAATGCTGACAAATGTGTATATAGTTGAGGGGAGCACAAAGCAAATACATCAAGTTTATTGTGGGCAAATTCACTATGGTTTCTCCATCTACCATCAGAATTCCAGGGACACTGGGCATTGTATAATACTGAATCATGTATCCTGAATGCATTTTAATGATTTAAACTAGCATATTTCATTTCCTTAGCCCCCCCCCCCCGCCCCCCGCCAAAATCAGGGCAAGGCAGAGTTATATAACCTTTCAATAATAATATTTGTAAAAGATATGTTTTAATGATTTGAGTCTCATTTTTCTTAAATTACCAGTCATTTGAATAACTTATTTAAGCATTACTTTAAACAAGTAATTTCTTTTTCTCTTTCTAATTTCTTGACATTCGAAAAGGGCAGCTCAAGTGGCTAAGGCAACTGAAGAATGACAAGTGTCAGAAAATAAAGGAAGTCCTCCCTTGGTTTTATTCCAGTAAGAGATAGAAGGCAAAGCTAGACTTCTGGTAAGAGACAGAAGGCAAAGGAGGGAAGACTTAGTTGCCTGTGGCATGGCTTAAAGGCCTCAAAGCTAAGAGATTTAATGGGTCCACTGTGCACTAGGGAAGAAAATGTATAATGGCTTTTGAGGACCTCCCTGAAGTTGAGCTCACAATTCTGACAATGTGTATTTTTCTGAGGAAAGGGTTTGTTCATCAGAACCTGAAAGGTTAAGAACTCGGGACAAAGGAGAACTGGAACTAGAAAAAAAATCTGAGCCATTTACATGACACCAAATCCCACTAGGATTTCAATATGTAAGCTCCCAGTTTATGCTAAGGTAGTGAGTACGAAATTTTGGATTGCTAGCAGTGTAACATGCCCTTCCTACACAGTTAATTTACAATAGGCTGTGGGGTCTCAGTCTTATGGCAGGTGTTCTTAACTTGGAAGTCCAAAAAAACCCTGAGATTATATACAAAATTGTGGGTGTGTCACCTATGTGTATATTTATAGGGAAAAGGGTCTATATTTTTTCCAACAGTTTCTCAAAAGGATGGGGAACTAAAGAGCAAAATAGTAACAACAACAACAAAAGATCAGAAGCCACAGGAGCCACTGCTTCAGACAGAAATGTGTAGCTTTCTGCCCTTGCATTTGGCTTCTTTGTTCTTGGCGAAGGCAATTAAAACATATAAATCAGGCTAGACAAGCACTGTGGTAATAATAATGGACTCTATACACATACACACACACACACACACACACACACACACACACTCTTTCTAGGAGCTCTGTTTTTGCAATGCATTACCATGGTGCTTTGAAATCCATTTGCATTCAAGTAATCACAAACATCCATTCACAAACTATCTGGAAATTCACTATGATTTTACTTCCTCTAGGCAAAAGTCAGTCTACTTTCATCAATTTTAGTATGTCGAACGTTCCGTGAAATCTCATTTGGAAAAAGTTTGCTCAACCCTTAACTTCAAAGTGAAAAAGTGACCAGGAAAATACTAGTGTAGGATCTTAGAGAAGATAAGCAACTCCTGGATAAACATTCACAATCTCTTGCTGAGGTGCAGAAACTAACAACACAGATTTCATAAAGAGGGATTAGCATATTTGGCACTCAAAAAACCAAAACCACGTTATTTCTTAAGTGCATACCACAGTGAATCTCCAGACATTTTGTGAATAGAGAGGTGAATGAGTCAGTGTCATCCAAAGACTGGGACCAGGGAATATAAAATGCACCAGGAAAAGGAAACATGTTTTTAGGGACATTCAACATGAAATTAAAGTTGTTAGAATTTGGCCACCTGACACATATACATAAACAGTGAATGGATGGTAGTTGTTTGGATGGATGCTTGTAACCACTCAAATGCATGTGGATAGTGAAGATTGTGTCTGTACAATTTATTTAATATCTTCTCATTCTCCAGTATAACATTTTAGGGTTAAAAGAATTATCTACTATACCTTCTCCAATAGGAAGTGGATCTGGTCCCGTTTTTTCAAAATTAATAACTACACCACTCTGAACTTTTTGAACTAGAGATTCTAAACATTGATTCAACATTCTTTGTGTTCTCACACAGTAGGAGCGACCTATCCCAGAAGGAAAAGTAAATAGCATAAGTTTGATCAAATAAAATATGATTTCATAATACAAGCATTTAAAAATCCTAAAATATAACTTGAAATAATCATAACTACATTAGCAGCCAATATCATACCAATGATGACCTTAAGCAACAGCTAAAAGACTTTGAAGGAAAACAAGTAAAGACTGGATACGGCATTTAATGAAAAATATACTCTGTGCTCTGAATTCTTCTCAGAAACATTAAATATTGCCAATACCTCCTGTGACCTCACACATCTGTGTGATGGCAGATTCATCAGTTGGTACACTCCCTAATTGCTCTGGTTCGGTAGAAGCCACTCCAGGCAAACGCAACACCAGGGCAAATAACCTTTGATCCCAACGAAAAGGTTCTTTGGTTAGTTCACTTCCAGGCAGAGGGGAATTCAAAGGAAGATGGAGCTGATAAGGAAAAAATGTGAAAAATGTTCATCATAATCATAACAACCCATGTAAAAATGAAGAATTAAAGGGTTCACTTTTCTTTCATGCAACTCAATAAAATTAAGCAATCTTTCAAGGATTACCAAGATGGGTGATTTGACCAAACTTATTCTTAACTGGAAATGTCTCCCACAGAAATAGCTGCATGTTCCCTGCCACTTAAACAAAAAAAAAAAAAAAAAAAAAAAAAAAAAATCTCACCTCTTCTTGAACACCAGCAGTACTTGTTAACTTGTTTCCATCTGTGATGGTAATTAAAATAGATGGTTCTAAAAAAAATGGATTTCTTCCCTAAAATACATTTAAAAAGCATTAGAGCCATGTAAAGTAATAAAAGTGTATTTAAACTTTTACACTTGCCTTGCTAATGATCTCTTAAGTAAATGATAACATTTGTCTGGATAAATAAGGAGGAAATGATTAGGGAACAAAATGGGTGGGTATCAAAATAACAACCTCTGAAGGGGTAACATTCAGCATAACCTGAGGAATTCTTATAATTCAGGAACTCCCCAAACCATTAACTTTCAAATACCTCTCTCACTCTGCTTTCCAAGTAATCATGAAATAATATTACAAGATTATACTGGCATTACCATCCACCCTCATGAATCCATTCACTTCAGTCAAAATCCTGGCACAGACAGGACACTAGTAACTTACACGCTGCAACCTGGAGAGTGACATTGGTTACCGTGAACACAGACTTTAGAGGAGGAGAGGACAATGCGAGCAACAGCAAATGCTACTCTGCCTTCTTAGCCTAGAGTTTTTTCATCAAAATGGGAGGGACAGAGGAGTTAAGGACATTAAAAGTATCTTTCCAATTGTCTTGTTCTGATATTTCTCAGCAGTTTATTCACACCATTCTCAATATCTGATTATCTCATGGTAGACAATTTTAGCTATTCTATTATCAAGCCATATACGAGAACCAAAAAAGAGGGATTTTTTTAAAGTATATATTTAAAAGGTAATATGAATCTCATTTGGGGGGGGGGTTATGAAAAGTAGCAAAAAACTTAGTAACCATGCCCAATTTTAAATTCTTACCCCAAGCCACGAAAATAAATTAGCTGTACTCACTCAAATTTTTTTTACCTGTCCATAATTGTCTATTCCAGATATTAATCTATTGAGATTTAACAAATCAAATGAGGATCTTAGAGCCTGACCAAGAGTAGTCAGTCCAGAAGCCTGAAGATTTTTTAGTTCGCTCATGAATGTTGCATGATTTTCCTTCCAACCAACCTGCAAACCAAACATTTACAAAGAATTTCTTGATTACACAATGAACAATATATAAAATGCAAACAACAACTAAACAGAAAGTATCACAAGTCTAAGAAATTAAATGCTCCTTAACCTAGTTCTATTCTATATCTTCACTGATCAGGTATAACTAAAGCATGCAGTTTTGGAAAGACCTGCTAGGTTTAATAATCAAAAGCAAAGAACTAAAGCAAAAAATACTTCGTCCATTGTGGCTGAAGGACTGTGGCTCAAGAGGTCCAGTTCTCTGTTCAGCCTCAACCAAACCTGCCAACACACCTGTTACCCTAGCTTGATGGCAGTGATGATGAGAGTCGGGGCAGAGGAAGGAGTAGTTATTTTTTAAATGCATTGTCCTTGATAGAGACAAACAATTAGCTATATTGAGTGTTTGAGCTACATTAATTCTTCTAACCAAGATTCTTCCACCCAAGCAGTATTTTCATTTTTAAGCAATAGTAAAGGGGGAATAATAGGAAAAAAGCCACACTTATTTGGCTATAACCCTTCTGGCATCTTCAAGTATTCAGAAAGCTCAAGATCTAGAATAAGGGGAGAAAGAAAAACGAAAAGTTTTGGCAAAGAAGCAGCATCCCCTAGCCACTCCCAGCAGCTATGAACAGCAGCAAAGAACCAAAGATCCAAGGTCAACAGCCAACATGCTGTGATTGATTGGTTTGTAGAATAGAAGGAAGGAAAGGATCATGCTGACTGGTCTGCAATGGCTATAAAAACAAAACAGCAAAAAATGCTGAGAAGAGAAGCTAAAAGAAGAAGGTGGCAGCTAACAGGAAGTCACAGGGGAATGGGCCAGCAAGGGAGAGAGCAGACAGCACAGCTTGGCCACAGAGTGGAACAGCTACTTGAGCCTCAGTGAGCCGGAGAGCAGCAGTGTGTATGCTGAATGCTGAAGTTACGCCAAACAGGCCAGTACAGCTGGAGGTTGAAAGCAAGAGCAAATGATACTGAGATAAACTAAACCATTGGAATTTCACATTTAGCTGAAGGCATATAGTACATTACTCATGCAACTACATCACTCTTTTCTGGTTTCATGGTCTTCCAAAGCAATTTGGATTGGTAGAATGACTGAGAGGCAAGAAAGGGGGCAGGTTATTGCCTATGGACCCTGTTATGAAATATCTGTGTGACCTTGAGCAAACCAGTTGGCTTGGAGGAAGATCTGATAAGCAGGGACACTGTGTCAGGCTGAGAATACCAACTTGCAAAGAGTCATTCATATCGTAATCTGTCAGGATGGTGCCTCCTAGGGTTAAACAGAACACAACCTGCATACCCATACAAGGTCAAGGTGATCTTGGTTAAGGTTCACTCCAGGGGCCAGGCACGGTGGCTCACACCTGTAATCTCAGCACTTTGGGAGGCCAAAGCTGGCAGATCACGAGGTCAGGAGTTCTAGAGCAGCCTGGCTGATATGGTAAAACCCCATCTCTACTAAAAATAAAAAATAAAAAAACAATAGCCAAGTGTGGTGGTGCATGCCTGTAGTCCTAGCTGCTTAGGAGAGGCAGGAGAATCGCTTGAACCCGGGAGGCAGAGGTTGCAGTGAGTCGAGATCGTACCACTGCACTCTAGCCTGGGCAACAAGAGCAAGACTTCATCTCAAAAAAAAAAGCTTTCCAAGTGCTCCTTTGGCCAAATTGTATATATGACTTTTCGTACTGAGAATATAGGGGATGAGAATAACACTTTATGGCCCAAGGAAAGTCTTATTGAACTAGACAAACTAAATTTTAGTGAAAAGGATGCATTATGATTTAAAGTATCTTTTCAAATATCTGGAACTATCAGTGGTTAATTATAAATCACACTGAATTAGGAAATGAGATTTCTTCTTTGGGGTAGAAGAGAGAGGTATACATTTGGGTAGAGGATAGGATCAATTCTTTCTTTTATTTTTAATTATTTTTGGAGACTGAATCACACTCTATCGTCCAGGCTGGAGTGCAATGGTGCGATCTCGGCTCACTGCAATCTCTGCCTCCCAGGTTCAAGCAATTTTCCTGCCTCAGCCTGCAGAGTAGCTGGAATTACAGGCGCATGCCACCATGGCTGGCTAATTTTTGTATTTTTAGTAGAGGCGGGGTTTCACCATGTTGGCCAGGCTGGTCTCAAACTCCTGACCTCAGGTGTTCTACCCACCTCGGCCTCCCAAAGTGCTGGTATTACAGGTGTGAGCCACCACGCCTGGCCCTTTCTTGTATTTATTCATCAGATTTTTACTATCTATGCTATACTTGGCAGAATGCTACGTGCTGGGGAGATAGAGAAGAATTAGCTCTTGAGGAGTTCCTGCCACAAAGGAATAAGAGATGCACTTATGGAGACTGGAAGAACAAGTGACCAGAGAGTGAGGGAAGGCTTCTCACTGAAAATGGGACATTTGAGAAAGCCTGATGGGATGAAGCAAAGATCATGAGACTCACTGATGTGAGGGGTAGAGGGGACTGTCCAAGGGAAGAGAACAGATCTCATAAAAGGATAGGACTCACTGGAGAACCACCAGTAATCTGAATATCATTGCTCTGGGCACATGGCAGGAGGTAAGGCTGATTAAAGATAATTTGGGCTCTGGCTATAAGTGCTTTGTACACCATGCTCAGCAGTTTGGATTTTATCTGCTGGCCCTGGAAAGAACTCAAGGTTTTAAATCCAGGGAGTGGTATGATCAGACCTTTAACAAGATCTCTGCTGGTAGTTGGAGAATAAATTGTTGGGTGGAGGAGAGGCTGAAGCTTGAGGCAGGGAAACTGGTTTGGAGACTGCTGAAAAAGCTTATGAGAAAAGTGATGAAAGCCTGAGTTAGGGCAGCAGGGATGGAGAGGAGGTTGCAGATTAAAGAAGTATTTCAGAGGTAGAGTCCTAAGGATTTAGTAGCTAATTAGAGGGGCAGGTAAGATAAAAAAGGGTCATGCATTAGGTTGAAGTTTTTGGCTTTGGCAAACTTGTAAATGGTGGGCGGGGATCCTTTACCCTGAAGCCACTATAAAAATTGATTCTTGTTTTTGGAGTTACTTCATTTAGCAATCTTATTTCCACACTGGAAACAATAGTTATATATTAAATTTGAACTCCTGAAGGGCCATGTGGTAGTTCAAGGTGTAATTAAAGAAAAATTAGTGGACTATTTGATTTGGTAAAGGGCTAGGATAAAATTTGGGTACCACTTTATGACTCATCAGTATTTAAAATAATGTGTCCTGATTGTTAGTTGTGTTATTCATCAATCTGTCAGAATATTACTACTCTTCAAATTTTCCTTTAGAATATGGAATGAAAGCACTTTACAAATATTAATAGTTTACTTCTCTCTCTCTCTCTCTCTTTTTTCTGAGATGGAGTCTCACTCTGTAGCCCAAGTTGGAGTGCAGTGGCATGATCTCGGCTCACTGCAATCTCTGCCTCCCAGGCTCAAGCAATTCTTGTGCCTCAACCTCCCGAGTAGCTGGGACTACAGGAGTGCGCCACCACGCCTGGCTGACTTTCTGTATTTTAGTAGATTTGGGTTTTCCCCATGTTGCCCAGGGTGGTCTCAAACTCCTGAGCTCAGACGATCCGCTTGCCTTGGCTTCCCAAAGTGCTGTGGTTACAGGTGTGAGCCACCACACTCGGCCCAAATATTAATAGTTTCTATGTCTAAATCTCTGACATTCTGTTTTTAGGTTAATTGCTATTCTTTGCAATGAATTGGATGATATGGGAATTTTTAATGCCATTCCTACCTAGTACTACAAAGTATATGAGCTACATTTACTATCAAGAGCAATGAACTCCTTGGCGGGGGTCCAGCTCCCTATACCAAATGTCCCTATGTCCATTGCTCAACATGCTGAAGAAAATAAGGCCCACAGATTTATTGAAGTATTTAGAGAATCTTATTAATGTGACAAATTTCTTCCAAACAGTTAATTATAAAGAGATAGTGAGTATACCTTTACACTCTCCACTCATTGCTTATATTTTTTCACAAATGAAGTCAGGACAGCTAATTTGCCTCCTTAATGTGTTTTTTTCTTTCAAATTACTGTACTCCAAAGATATTCTATTCTTATGTTAGTAAAAAACCTTTACTCCTGATAAAAACTTCTGTACATTCTTCCAGAACTTTACTGCTTACAAAGCACTTTCACACTTCACATTGGCTGAGGGCAAACCTATGAAATAGGCATGGCATCACCACCCCTATTTTAACAAACAAGGAAGAAGTGAAACATAGGTATGTCTTGTTTATGTGGTGGAGAGTCACATTCTACAGCTGCACTACCTGATACAGTAGCTTTTAGCTACATGTGGTTATTGAGAACTTGAAATGCGGCTAGTCTGGATGGAGATGTGATGTAAGTATAGAATACATTTGGCATTTCAAGGATGCAGAACAACAAAATGCCAAAAATCTCATTATTTTTATATTGCTTACACGTTGAAATGATGTATTGGATATTTTTGGTTAAATAAAATATTTTAGTATAGTTTTACCTGTTTTTCCTTTTTAATGTGGCTACTAGGAAATTTTAAATTATGTATATGACTGACATTAAGTTTCTATTGAACACTGATGCTCCTCAGGGACCTGAAGGTCAGGTATGAGAGCTTGGCCTTAAAGCAGCAGACAGTAGACACACTACAGAGTCCAAGGCAGGGGGAAACAAGAAAATCAGTCTGACAGTGACATACAGGACAGCCTGGAGGAAAGTGAAGCTGTAGTGAGAAGAAGCTAGGAGGCTTGAGGCCAGGTACAAGGGCTCACGCCTGTAATCCCAACACTTTGGGAGTCCGAGGCCGGCGGACTGCTTGAGCTCAGGAGTTCGAGACCAGCCTGGGCAACATGGCAAGACCCCCATCTCAAAAATGCACACACAAAAAAAATTGCTGGGCATGGTGGTGCACACATGTGGTCCCAGCTACTCAGAAGGCTGAGGCAGGAGGGTGACAGAGCCAGGTCCTGTCTCAAAAATAAA